AGCCGGCCGGAATTGCCTGCTCCTCTAGAGGAGCAGGCAATTCCGGCACGCAATGTTCTGCTACCACGACGCGATGCGGGCGTGCCAGCAGCCCGCGTGGGCCGCTGGCAGGAAGGGGCAGGTCGGGCGCTGAGCGTGTTGCTGTGCGTGAGAGTGGTTGTGTGGCTTAAATGGGCTGTGGTGCGTACGATGGACGGGGGGCCTCTTGCGAAACCCGTCGCACGTCGCTCTGGGCGGGGAGGAGATTGGGGAGTGGGAAAAGCCGTTGCCGGATTGTGGTGCGGGCGGGCTTGCGGGGGGACTGAGGGGCGGGGACTGCCCGAAGGTATGTGTCGGAGCGTGATTGGGTAGAAATTAGGGTTTTTGTAGGTACAGTACGTAATGGGCTCTGTCCCCATTGGAAATCAAAAAAACAAAAAACTTGCAACTCTCCTGGAATGGGCGGTGCGGAACGAGGCAGTGGCGCAGTTTTAGATGATTTTCCCGCCTCCCAACCAACTCTGGAGCTTGCGTGCCGCACACTCACTGCCGCCCCCTGTATCAACTGGAGTACCAAAACCCCCCAATCCTGTCCCCCCTCCCCCGGACCAAGTCGTACCCGCTTGTCCCATGCCGACCGCCCATTCTTCGGTATCACATGTTCTGCATGGCAAACCCTTCTTCCCCTACCGTCTTGGCCCACTGCCTGCCTCCTTGCCGTCCTCCCCCCTGCTTTATTTTCACTGGAAAATCGGCTCGCCGAAGTCTATCCACATCCAACGCGTAAATCTAATCTGTCAGAGTGTGCGCCTCGCCTCTTTGAACCCACCGAATTATACCTCTGCGCTGTTCCACCATTGCCACACCTTCGCGCCTGTACAATTGCCGAGCGCACGAGTCCACCACCCCCACTCTCACCCGCCATGCCACCCGCAACGAAGCGCTCCCGCAACCGCGGCGGAGGCGCGGGCCGCCTAGAATACATTTCCCTGGACGGCCTTCGCATCGACGGCCGGCGCCCGACCGAGGGGCGCAAGATCCGGTGCTCGCTGGGCGCGCTGTCCCGTGCTACTACGAGCAAAGCAACACGCGCGTCCTCGCCGCCTTGTACGGCCCCGCGAGCCCCACTCGCGCGCAAACGTCCAGCACGACCGCGCCGTCGTCAAGTGCGAGGTCTCCACCGCCATGTTCGCCTCCCCCGTCTACCGCAGTACCTGGAAGGGCGACGGCAAGAGCACCGCCGCCGCCCTCGTCATGCAGAAGGCCTTCGAGGGCGTCATCCTGACCGCCCCGTACCCCAAGAGCCAGATCGACATCTATTTACAGGTCCTCCAGAACGACGGCGGCGCGCTCGTCGCCACTGTCAATGCCGCCAGTTTGGCACTGGTTAATGTCGGCGTCGCCATGTCGGATTTCGTCGTCGCTTGTGGTGTGGGCTTTGTGGACGACACCTTTGTCGTTGATCCTAGCTCGTTGGAGAGCGCCTCGGATCGCCCGGAGCTCACGCTCGCCGTCTTGAGTCACTCTGCTAAGATTGCTTCGTGTCAGTTGGATAGCAAGCTCCCGGATGGCGAGTCGTTTGAACGCGCTTTGGAGTTTGCGACGTCGGGTGCCAACCAAATTTTCAAGGTCCTCGAGTACGAAGTGCGCAAGTATAGCTTGAACGGGCCCGGCGGGCCGCGGCGCGGCGTGGCGCGCGCGAACCGGCCGCGAGGGGGAGAGGCCGGTGGCGAGCGCCAGGTGGGCGAGACAAGGGAGCTCGGGCGCGCGCGACCTGAAGCAACTTGCTCATAATCGCCACCTCCTAGCGAGCTACCACAGCGGCCCTAATAACTATACAATGCGAAACGAAGTCAGCTCCAGCTGTTCCTCCTATATTGGAGGACGACGAAGGGGTCAGGCTTCTGCGAAAGGAGATAAAAATGTATGCTTGCTTCGGAAAGAAGTCAGAACTTACCGCGTTAATACGTTACATGAGTTGCCACTCCACACGTGGGCCATGGCCTTGACAAGCTCTGACACCTGCTGCGGGTCAAGACTGGTCCTCCCTACAAAGACTGTCTGCCTAAACTTCGCATCGGGGGCCTTCGGCGGGACGACTTCAAAGACGCCTGTGTCGTCATCGGCGTGACCGCCGTAGCAATGGTCAGTGCCGTAAATGGAGACGCCCGAGTGATAAAGCCCCAAGCCGACGCCGTATAGATAAAAGTTAATGGCGGGCACGGCGTCCGGGTTGTCGGGGTGCTGAAGATCGTAGACATTGAGTTCGATCGGGACCCCACCCGCAATAGGCATCATTCCCTGGTTTGACGACATGGGCTGTTGTGGATGGGTCTAGCGCATCGGCCGATGATGGCGGAGGCGGTGGCGGGGGTGTCGATATGTTGACCGGGGGTGCGGGTAGAGGACGGGATAGACGAATGGCACATCTGAGGCGGGTCGGGGATGTGAGGGCGTCGGCGAGCGGGGTGCGGGACACGTCGGCGCTCTCGCGCAAGGCGACGCTGCCGCCCAACAGGCGATGGCGCGGCCCGCCGCCGGCATCGCGCGGGGCGCTCGAAGACATGCGGCGGCACTCCGACGAGCACCGCGGCAAGCTCGGGCGCAAAGAGACGCGCCGCGCAATGCTGCGCAAGCTCCCCGTCCGCGGCGCGCGGAGGAAGCAGCACATGGAAGACGGCGGCATCGCCGAGCGTGCACGGCGCACTTTTCACAGTACATCTCTTCCATCGTCACCGTGCATCTCCTCTATTGTCAACACGCACCCCCACGCGATTCACAGTTACATACAAATGCTATTAACTTGCCGCGACCGCAATACCGCACACACTGCTGTTCGCAGAACGCCGAGACTCATACTGATAAAAGCCATGGACTTACCATTCCGGCGCGAAGGCGTGCAGGAGGGCTGCAGGCACGAGAAAGTGGCGGAGATGGGGAGAAGGCTCATAGAGGGCGAGGAGCGGCTTTCGCAGGTCGAGCGAACGCGGCAGCGGTTCGCGGGGCTGCCGACTGTGAGTTGGGTGCGCGGCGAGGCTGTGGTTTGCGGCGTGGAATGCGGGCGCGTAACTCACTTGGTGAGATACTTGACTTGCATGCAACGCGCGCGAGCGTAGGGTTTGGAAGAGTGCGAGCTGTTGGTTGGCGAGGTGCGCGGAGAGGTGGCGAGCGTGGAGGCCGAAGTCCAGGCGGCGATCGGGACGATGTAGCGATGAGCGATGTTTTGCGGCGGGCGGTGCGTTTTGCGGTGAGGTGGTGGATAGCAGCTACTTGGCTGCGGCAGCTGTGGAGGCGCGGTCAGCCACGGCGTCGCGCAGTACGGCTTCGGAGAGAGGGAGCGGCTCCTGGTGGGCGGGTGGGGGGAGGAAATTGGTGTGAGATTTGAGACTGGGGTAGAGCTAGCGGGGGTGCAACGGGGGGTGGACGCACCATAGTGTCTAGATCGCCCGGGGCTTGGTGCTTGAGGAGCTTGCGGGTAGCATTCCTTCTTCGCGAGGACGGCGCCCGCCGGTGTCATGGCGCCAATGTGGGTGGGGTTGACGTTGAGGACATGTTCAAAGGTGTCCAGGGCGCGTTCGCGATCATATACAGCGCTTTGGAAAGACGCCGATCCGAAACGAGACGGCCTCTTTCGCGCTGTTCATGTGCGACGCATGGGTGGCATCGGCTTGGGTAGGGAAATAACCCCCGCAGCATCTCCAGGGGGACCTGGAGATGCTGCAGGGGTATTTGTAGTCCGACATGATGCATGTAGCGAGGGCAATAATAGAGTTAGACGAAACGCGCTGCGGAAGGCAAGATAGAGAGCACGGTATTAAGGGTTGATTGTGTTTGCAGTGGCGGAGGGATCAAGCTTGGATAGCTGGTGTAGGCGAATACATGGGCGCAAAAGGGAGGTTTGCAGGGTGTGCTTGTTACACGCCGCGCCGCGCAAGCCGGAAAAGTAACTCGAGTGGTGAGACGTAAGTCGTGTGGAATTGCTCGTTTGTGGAAGAAACATGTGCCTTAGGGTAGTGGAATACGAGATGGAGTGGGAAGGTAAGCGTAGGAAGACGAAGCGAAAATGCGTTGCGTGCAATGAGGATGGGGGCAGGCGGCTGGAACGTACGGGGCGATGGGCAGGTAGTTAACGAAACGTGAGTAGCGAGATCGGAGGGGCCAAGAAGGGTAGATTGCGAGAGGAAGATAGCGGAGAAATGGGAACGATTGAAGGTGCAGAAGGGGGGAAGGCGTATTTTTCCACGAGAGGGGCAGAAGAAGAGATGGGGGAAGGAGAACGGAGAGACCAGTCGAAGGAAGAGGGCCTCGACGAAAAGTCGTGAGGGCGGGGTGAGGACGAGGTGGGGGTGGGACGGGGGAGAGCTTGCAGACTTTTTTGGAGAGGGTTATTTATTCTAGATTTTGTTTTGTTTTTCGCCAGCGCGTGCTCTTGTAAGGGAACAGGTGTGCATGTGAGCAAAAAGTTCGCGCGGATGGGACGTCGTGCAGCATCCAGACACACAGCACAAGTAAACACACGGGGGACGGCGCGTGTGTGGGCGCTTGCGTGGCTTTCTGGCAACAAACCGTCCCAAACTTTCCACAAAAAACCGAGCGGCAACTTCGAGGCATCCACATTTGGCGGTTTCCCTCCACGACAAACCCCCCTGAGTGGTTCATGGGGAAGCAACGGTATCATGTCTGAAGGAGCCGTATCTATCTAAGAAAAAAGGGCAGGAAAGACCCCACTCATATTGTTAGTCAAGCCCTACTCTACTTCTGCAGCTGTTCTCTCTCTGTTTCGAGACCTCTATCAGACGGCAAGCATCACCGCAACTGGTCCAGGACTACCATCTTTAAACATACCACTGCGAGGCCGCGTCACTGCGACAGCTATTTACCTGCTACCGCAAACATTGCCTCCAATTCCTCTGGCTGCGGAATGCGCTCCTCTTCCGCATAGTAGCCCAGTGTCTTGCTCTTCTCCAACAGCACGCCAATCCAATGCGTCTTTAACCCGAGCGTCCTGTGCTTGTAGTAAACCGTCCCGGACCATGTCGACGAAAACTTGCCAATGAAGCAACCACATTTCACCGCGAGCTCGTGCTCTACAAAGTTCTGATCATTATGCAGGAGCGAATGTTTCAAGAGCGGCGCCAGACGCACCCGCTTTCCGAATGCTTCGCGGAGCTGCGTCACCGTCTCCTCTGGCACGTACGGCGATGCGGCAAAAAACAGCGCCGGCGTCTGCTCCGCCGCCATCAGCTTGGAAACCTTGTCCACTAAGTTCCGCATTGGCGCCCATTACACAGTGTCCGGCTCGTTGATAGCTATGAGCAACCTAATGCAAACTTTGCCCTCCATCCCTGGCCTGGGCATACACGCCCTCTCGTCATAGCGTAGGTGGAGCACGGTAAGCTCCTTGACGTTCCAGCTGGCTGCCATGTTCGCAATCCTAGTCACGGGCTCTACATAGCGCATGAAAGAGTACAAGTATTCATGCCCCACCCGCCCCCTGTGCAGAAACGTGTGTCCGTCGACTAGCACGCACGCCGGACGCGACATGTTTCTTCCGCAGCCGGCAGCGTTTGCCGGTCGCGAAGCGTGACGAGCTCATTCACCAAGCTCATACCGGGGGGGTGCAACATCTGCATGGAGGCCTCTCCACTGCGGCGATTGCAAACACGCGTTTGGCGCAGTCCTCCTGGTTTTTCGGGGTGACGTCGTCGTGCGGGTACAACAAAACTGCAGCACCTGCTTCGTCCTGGACGACAACTTGGCGGGGGAGACTTTGTCGGGCGCCTTCGCGCGCGTGAAGATGTAGACGTAGTAGAAGCTGCTGGTCCACACATGCGGCAAGTGGGACAGGATGAGGGTATACAGGGCGACGGCGGCCCGCATGCGACGGAGGCGCCAGTACTTGACGCCGTGTTTCTCGAGGACGCGCTCCGTGGTAGTTTTGCTAAACTCTCGGCTAAGGAAGGAGGGGAGGAGGAGGTCGGGGTGAGCGTGGCGCGCGAGAACGAGGGCCTCGAGAAGGGATTAGAGCTGGTTGCCGGAGTCTCCGTGCGTGAGGGCGACCAGGATGGTGTTTGGACGGCGGGTGACCACGCGCGTGGGGAGGATCATGGCCCGATGGTGGACGGTAGGGGATAAGGCGGCGGTGAGTTTGGGGGGCGAAGGGTGTAGCATGGTGAGCCGCGGGGGGAAAGGACGCTGGAGTAAAGCAGGCCGCCGACGACGAGGATCGCGAGCGTGCGGCGCACACTGGTGCGTCGCGGCTTAGTCAAACATCGAGGCCGAGGTCGAACGCGTGTTTCACGGCGACAAACGCGGGAGCCAAGCCTGCGTCCAGCGTGGTAACCTTGGGCAGAAACCGGCCCGCGACCTCGGTCTTGTCGCACGCGAAGTAATATTAACTGACGGCCATCCAGCTGACGGCGCTCTTCGGATCGGGGTCGACCGGCGGGTGGGACTCTTGAAAATTGTGCATAACGGCACCCGACTTGCGAATTTCGACGAGCTATGAAGAGATGAGGGAATGCCACTCCGATGGCACTCCGCACGAACTACGGCGGTGTGGTGCTACTGCGGTGGCACTCCGCATGTGATACGACAGCACTGCACGGTTGACCGAGAGTTTCGCCCTGCTGTACCTAATGCTACATATACACTACGTAAATACTACGATTGCACCCCTAGTCCTCCGATCGCCCTGCGGGTAGCCTACGAACGCCTACAGTAGGGTTGCTAGGGTACGTCCCGATTCCCTCCTGTCTCTACCGCGCGCGTCGGCCCGCCACGCCCGGCTC